GGGTTTATAGGGTTTAGGGTTTTAAAATTTAAAACTTAGGGTTTAGGAGTTTAGGGTTTAGGGATTATAGGATTTATAAGGTTTAGGGTTTATAGGGTTTAGGGTTTATAGGGTTTATAGGGTTTAGGGTTTATAATCGGGTTATAGGGTTTAGGGATTATGGGGTTTATAGGGTTTAGGGTTTAGTACTGCAAGAGCACAGAATGAGAATCTCAAGTCGAACTGGTCAGAAGCCTACTGCTAGGGTCTAGGGCTTTAAGGTCTTAGGGTTTAGGGCTTAGAAACCTACTGTCATTAGTCATAGTCTACCATCGTACGTTAAGGTACGGTTATCATGATATGCTCTTGATGCTTACGGGTTTAAGACTGTGGGCTTTCAGCTGCAAGGAAGAGTTTAGGACTCACGGTTGAAGGGTTTAGGGTCTACGGTCTAGGGTACCCTAGACTCTGGGATTGGGGCTTAGGGTTTAGGGTTTAGGGTTTAGGGTACCCTAAACCCTAAACCCTAAACCGTTGAGGTCTTGTTGGTATTGCATCGGCTCTTGATGTAGATATCTGTTCGTCATAGAGCTTTCATACAACTCATACCGTGCACGCGCCGCCAGGACTCTGCCATGCCTATCTCTGCCGTAAGCCCCTCAGTCACTCAAAAACCCACAAAGCCAAAACCAAAAAAGTGCAAACTCAAGCCCGAAGCCCTTCAAATGACCCTGAACCCCAAGAAAGAGAAAGCACTGCCTTTCTCACCAGGCCTTGGTGATCCCCCCGGCTTCTTCAGTCTCCAGGTGCTTCAGAGCGTCGTCCATTTCTGGAGGATTGTAGGCGGAGCTTAATTAAGGCTCACATTTAGGGTTTAGGGTTTAGGGTTTAGGGTTTAGGGTGTTTGGTGGTTTGTGGATTGATTTTCGGGTGAATTTGGGGGCGGGTTAGGGGACGGCTTAGGGGGCGTTACAGGGGGGTTAGGGGGGGTTCAAGGGCTAGGGGGATTTCTGGGTTAGTTAAGGAGTTGGGGTTTAGGGATGTTGGGCTTAAGTCTTGGTGGGCTCGGGGTTTCAATGGTGCGAAGTTTAGCTTCGAATAAAAATGGAAATTGAGAGTCCATTACCATTGCGATTTGTTCAAGAACGACTTTACGCATACCACGAAGTCACGAAGCATGCATGGATATATGCACGAATCTCGAACGAAAGAAGGAAAGAAGGAAAGAAGAAAAGAAGAAAAGAAGAAAAAAACAAACGAAGGACTTAATGACTGGCTGGAGGCATGCATGCTCGAGACGAACGCATGCTTGTTTCGTCGATCGACCCTTCTACGCACACTTGCATATACCCAAACCGGCAGCACAAACTGTGCATGTAGACACACACACACACATACATACATACATACATACATACATACATACATACATACATACATACACACACTCAGACATGGGCTAAATTTCCTTTGTGTGCCATATAATGGCCATGTATGCCTCTGTACGTATACCTTTACAAGAACAGATAGCAACACAACCATCCGTCCACTCATCCATCCATCCATCCATCCATCCATCCATCCATCCAATCATCACTGCATCCATCGCTGTACTGCGATGCAATAGACAATAGAGTATAGTATGCTAGAAGACAAAACTTATATACTGTATACTCTGGTAGAGCAGCAGACCGCAGTATAATAAAAACGGCATACAGCAACGTAAAGAAACCAACGTAGTCACATAGTACAAGATGTCTTGACTGTGATGCCACAGAAGACCGTACGTTGCAATTGTAGACATATGTAAATGTATATGTACATATATATATATATATATGTGAATACATATATATATATATATACATACTCAATATTATGTAATTATATATATATATATAGATACATATATGATATATGCACATACTAGCAAAGTGCTCTAAGGGCCGGACTTCGAGCGCAGACCGTGGTGGGAATCTTCTGGAAGTTGCCTTCCCCATCCTGCATCGAGTTTAGGGTTTAGGGTTTAAGGTTTAGGGTTTCAGGTTTAGGAGTTTAGGGTTTGGGGTT